TGGCTGCAATATAACAAAGAGTGAAAAATTGAAGGGGGTCTGAATACTTTCCGTACCCACTGTATATATATACTACATTTAACACACAGTCATGCATATATACACAATTATTAGCAAGTATACGCAAGTTAAGGTGTGATTGTCGTATGGCTCTTACCTTTTTTAGGTTTAGTTTTTATGATGGGTTTCGTCGGTTTGTTGGCTTTACCATCCTCTATGTCATATAGACGCTTGATCTTTAAATTGAACAAACAGTCTTCGTTAAAAACTCTTCCATTGCTAGTTACAGTATTTCAGGCAGCTTTTGCATGTGTGTAGGTGTGCGTCTAGGACTGTGTGTTTGACCTGCATGGGTTTCATCAAGGACAGGTTGGCATTCGGGTAACGTGTGGATGGATCGATGCTGTAGGCGGCGTAGTTCTTGCTGGTGTTTTCTGGAGTCGTTTGAGAGAGTAACTGATACACGCTCTCCCTGTAAGAGATACGCACAGCATCAACTGACCCATACATGCATTTTATATGGTTTTATATTGATACATACAGTTCATAAGTTCGGGGTGGATAAGATTTTAAAGTTTTTGATAACCAAGCCTGCATTTATTTGATCAAAAATGTAGAGTAAAAACGTTAATATTACAATTTAAAATAGCTGATTTTTATTTAAATATACTTTAAAATGTAATTTAATCCTGTGATGCAAAGCTGAATTTTCAGCATCATTACTGCAGTCTTCAGTGTCACATGATCCTTCAGAAATCATTCTAATATACTGATTTGCTGCTCAAGAAACATTTCTTATTATTATCAATGTTGAAAACAGTTGTGCTGCTTAATATGTGTAGAAACTGAGATAATTTTTAAAAGGATTCTTCAATAAATAGAAAGAAAAAAAGAACATAATTTATTTGAAATATAATTTTTTGTAATATTATAAATGGTGTAAAAATGGTAAATTGTACCTCCCCGCCAACACCTCCAGGGGTGGCACACCTTTTCCCCAACTCCTGACCATCCACGCCGTGTCAAATGCAGCCAGGAAACCACGAGCAATGCCCGTACCCAGAGGCCAAAACGGCTGCAGAAGAATACATAAATAAAATAAAATACAATTTAAAATAAATAATTTAAAAAAGAAAATAAACAAATAAAAATTTAGTAGTATTTAAAAGTAAAAATAATAAAATTAAATAAAACAAATCATGGCCGATATTTATATTTAGCTGATGTTTTACTTAGTTTGATGGCCAATACATTGTTTGACTGTTGTACTGTTTAAACAGTGTTTACAATAAAATTCTAATTTTCCATAGAATGATCACACAACATTATAATAAAAACTATTATAATAAATATTATAATAAAAAAAAGACACTGTAGTAGCCAGTGTTGCCAACTAATTTTCAGAGAAAGTTGCTAAAGGAAGGTCGATTTGTTGCTAAAAGTTGCTAAATGACACTGTGATGTAATTGCGCGATGAAGTCATTGCGTAATCACGATGCAAAATTGTCACAACATCAAATCTCAGCAAAAATATATATTTTATGTTAACTTAGATTTGTTTGTAAAATAATATGCATAATATAATATTAAAATATAAATAACTGTATTTTTAAATACATTGAATTATTGAACACCTACACATTTTTGAATGATTACAATTTAAGTTTTTTTTAATAGCTAGTAAACTAGCTAATACTACACATTCTCAACCATTATGCTTTAAGCAGTGTATTAGTAGTTAGTTAGTATGCTACACTCTAAGAAAAGTCTGTAAACATAGGGCACAATCTATATGTTGATAATATGAAAGAATTTTCCGTATTGGTTTTTTACCTGCATTTTAAATTACGCATTGTGTTTTCGGGTTACAATGGGTAATATATTGGGTAATGGGTAATGTCCTGGAAAATTACTAATATCTTTTCTGTTTTTCTTACAGGGTACTAACTGATCAACAATCGCAAGTACAAGCTACTAACAAAGTGTATCATAAATGAACAATTATTCAATTATTATTATTATTAAATTGAACAATTGCAAATAGCAGCTAACTCAATTCACGTGATGTGTGTACTGCTAGGCATCTTTGCTTTCCTCTTTTTGTGTAATTTTGGATGGAAAATGTGTGCCTTTTTATTGTCTGAGTCACTTATCAAAAGTTGCTAAAAGTTGCCAAATAAATGTTAAAAATTGCTAAATTTGTTGCTGGGTGCTTTTGGAAGAAAAAGTTGCAAGGATAGTCTGAAAAGTTGCTAAATTTAGCAACAAAATTGCTAAGTTGGCAACACTGTGCCGCTGCACTTGTCATATAATCACAGCTATGCAGTGTTTTTAACCACATAATGTTTATTTTAGGTTTCAGACATTTAAATACACATACGTACTAGTAAAACAATACATTTAGAGCTCGTAAAACAGACACGGATGTTTATGGAAGCAGCAATTACAATCCATTCAAATATAATTTGCTGACGTGTTTTATTAATATCAGATTATAGTGTAAGTAACTATAAAGTTCACTCTATTCTTCTCCCAGTTCACCGGCCACTTATTTGCATGTATTTCGAGAGAAATTGATGGACCGCTAGAATATTTTAAACTCACCAGTGAAAGGGTTTAATTGTTTAATTGTTTTTTTTATGCTAGTTTCCATGACAGAGTTTAATGTAAATCTTCTCATTGCTACCTGAGCTGCCTGCTTAAGTTTTCAAATGATTAACAAACAGTAAGCACAAACTGTGCAAAAGCAGCAGCCCTTCCGGTGCACTCAGTCTCCGAATTTGTTCACTCGTTTTCATTCACTCCCTACATTGGACTAATATAGGGAATAGTGAATGAGGGGGCGATTTCGAACACAGCAGAGGTCAGATGTGGGGACATCAGGGTTGAAACATCCCACTTCAAGCCTCAGTGAGTTCCTGTCAATCACATGTCACCTTCACATGTTGACCACATGATGTCGCCATGACACAACCAGAGCTTTTCATGATTTTGTGGCAATAATGGTAAGAAACAGAAAAAAATGAACACAAAATGCTGCCATTCATTTTGAAAACAGCTGACAAAATTCAGAAATCAAGGCATCATTACATAAACATAATGTCTAATGTTTTTAAGTTGATGTAAGTTAGCTCCATACTTTGCTCACAGGAAGTAGAATTGCCTCATCTTGGAAACGACATCAAATGAGTAATCTCGCTGAGGTGAGGTCAGGGTTGATCGATCTGCAAGTTCACAGGTTGGATGTCCGACTTCATGCGGCGTTACAGATGTTATTTCCAAGTAGAAGGTGGAAAATATCCAAATTTCGAGTTGTTCCACACTGGACACGTTTGGCATTGAATTGTGGGTTAACAGTGTAAAAGAGGTAAATCCCAGGTAAAAGGCAATGCTAACCCCATTTCTAAATTACAAGTGTGCAACCTTCCTTTACCCAGGGTTACAAGCGAGTTTTAGAAAAAAGATAACTCTGGGTTAAGCGCAGTGTTAAAAGCCCTCTTAAGGGGAGAATGTAGGCCAGGGGTTCTAGACTCTGGCCATCGAGGTCCCTTTTCCTGCAGAGTTTAGCTCCAACCCTAATCAAACACACCTGAACAAGCTAATCAAGCTCTTCAGGATCATTACAGGCTGGCGAGTTGGATCAGGTTTGGAGGTAAACTCTGCAGGAAAGTGGACCTCGAGGGCCAGAGTTGAGAACCCCTTTTGTGGACCATACTGGTACTTTTTTAGTATTAAAAAATTGCACCTGATGTGGCTGCTGCGCCATATTGTGGTTAAAATGTAGTTAGTGGTTTGATGATGTGCACAAAACGGTGATTTAGATTCACTGAGCAGCATGTGACACATGACAAGGTGTTTGCAAGTTCATTTAATCAAAAATAAACAAGTAAATAAGATAAATAAAAATGCTGTATAACTGGTGGCTTGAAGAGATTTGACTGTTTTAATTGCGTCCATGTGTACGGATCCTAAAATTGCTCATGTACATATCATAATGAATTATAATCTAACAAGATCATTTGAGAGCAAATCAACAAATATACATATATCGCCATTCAAATGGGTCTCCAAAAATGAGCGGGCCTGTTTCTTAGTTTGTCTTTATTTCAAATATTTTTGTAAATTATATAATCCTTAAGAGAATTTAAGCATTTAACTTTTTACACAGAACCGCTGACCCTCAGATTTCTCTGTGCACACTACAGTCTCAGTGGTATACTTGATGCTGACGGTGTTGTTGGCTGTGCAGTTGAGTATAGCGTTCTCTGCTAAACCGAGGCTGATATTCAGGTGTGATCCTCGAGTCTGATGACTGATCCAGCTGTAGGATGGATTCGGATCTCCAGACGCCAGACACCGAAGATGAAACATGCAGATGTTTTTTGATTGCAGCCAGAAATGACTGTACTCAATCTTTACCTCTCTGATAAGCTCTGTTGGAAAATAATATGCCAACGTTAATTATATAAGCATACTAATTCCTTCATTAAAGAACTATTTAACTTCAGTGAAATGACCACAAACATATTCAGTGTCAGTTCTTAAATGTGTTGTTTTAGAATTTGCTATTTGCATCCTAACCTAACAGCATTGACAGAATAAATATCAAACAATTAAACTCACCATGAACATGAAGTACAAAGACTTTTGTGTCATATTGTTCAGATTTTCCTACTGCAACAATAGAGAATCTTCCAGAATCCTGCAGTTTAAGGTCTGTTACTGTTACACTAATAGTGTCCTTATTCATCTTTAACTTGTCATTAAATAATTCAGATTTCACTTTTTGGAGATCATCATTTTGATACTCAGCAAGTACAATCAGATTATATTTCCACTGCACTTCAAGATCTTGTTTTGGATAATCAGCGATTAATTCCAGTGAGTCTCCAACAGCTTTGTGCACCTCAACATCTGGATCCGCACATGACCCTACAATACAGAACAAACAACAAAACATGGTTACTGTCTCAAATTCATGCCATATTTTTTCACATTCAACAAAAGATACCATGCATCCCTCAACACATTTCATTAAATAAATAAATGTAAAATCAGACATCTGCCCTCTGCTGGCTGGTTATAGACACTAAGGAATGAGAGACCCTAACATTTTGTCAAGGTCAAGGTCAACTTTATTATCCCCAAGAAGGCAATTTGTTTCAACTTTAAACCACAAAATATCATAATAACATTCTAACTTTTATTAGAATTAGTCTAATGCTGGCTGCAACAGAAATAAGGCTCCACTGCAACTGGCCACGTTCTCTAAAGATAGGGCTTGAGGTTTCCTGAGCCGAACTGTCTTTTCTCACAGATGACACAATGATGTGACCTAATTGTCCGATCATCAGTAAAATAAAAATACACAATACATTTTAATTTTAAAACCACTATGCATGCATTGCATTGAACACATTTAGTTTCATATTTAATAAACATAAACATAACCCCTATTTGGACGGTAATTGTTTCTCATGTGGACGTCTGTAAAAATACATTTACATGGCACCTCAGTGATAAAACTGATTTATTTACAGTGCAGAAGAGAGTTCTGTGATCCAACGAACCCGGGAACGTGCTGCTCACGGGGCCAGTCGCATGATTGTCTGCTGTATTGTATTGCATGCATACCTGTTAATAATGACCCATTTCAAATGTTTACCTGCTTTTCTTCTTGTTGTTCTTAACAGCTCCCACTCGCTGTGGTGCAGTTATGAAATATTGTTCCTGTAAATAGCCTACTGTCCAGCATTTCAAGAAAATAATATTCTGACGGCAATGAAATCACACATCTACACCAACCACTGTAAATGTTGAAAATAATTACGGTCCGAATAGGGCTATTTAATTCATTTAACATATTCATATTCATTCCCTATACAGGAATAATAACTGCTGTATTTCTCGAGTCACTCACCTTGCAGAAGGAAAACCAGGAGAACTCCTAAAATGGAGCAGCAGGACTCTTGAAAGATGTTCATGTCCAGACGTTTAGACGACAGACTGAGGCATCCGTGACAGCAGGTACAGCGAAACAGAAGAGACAAAAATGGACTTCCTCACACTTCTCAGTTCCTCTTTAAGCTCACAAACGGACACAATATTCAGGCCATTCACTATATATATAGTTTTATATATATTCCAAGATCTATCATTGCAGTCAGCGGGTGTTGCAGTTGAACAGTCCACAAGTCGTCAAATAAAGCGCGCGCATCTGTAATAAAATGGGCTCCGGGGGGTGAATAAAGGCCTCCTGTAGCGAATCCATGCGTTTTTGTAAGAAAAATATCCATATTTCAAACGTAATAAACACTTTTATATCACTTCTGCCATCTGTCATACGCGGAAGCTGTGCCGGCGGATGTCGTAGCACGTCGGCGTTGCGAGATTAGTGACGAACGCGGAGAGAGAACAAAACAAAACGCCGGTCACGAATTAGAAGTACAAACCGAAGATTTGCAAAGAAAAATGTCAGAGGATTTCGATATAAGCCAAGAGGAGACTGGTTTTCCTTCGCTAAAGTAAGGAAACTTTGCTTCCTTTGCTCCTATAAACAAACTCGCAAAACTAGCATATCTCAGGCACGCGCGTGCTGCGCATACAAATCATGGTTACATACGGTCACAAATTCATGCCAATTTTTTTCAAATTCAACATACTATAACATGCATGCATCAACACATTTCATTAAATAAACAAATGTAAGTAAATCAGACATCTGCCCTCTGCTGGCTGGTTATTGACACTTCAGGCCATTCACTATATATAGTTTGTCAATGTTGCTGTGTCAACTGGAAGAAAAGGCAGGTGGGTTTTGGCTGAGTGTAATTAACAAACAAAGATTTTTGAGAAGATGAGAGTAATGTTCCAGGGCTCCAGACTGTCATCAGCCTGCACTCATGAAATATGTTGTTGAAGTTTGGTTAAATAAGAAATGTGTAATCAATTTTAATAAAGCAAGATGCACTGTTGAAGTATGTAAAATGTGTGATTCATATCTTGCTCAAAACATGTTTCCTCTGTCCTCCGTCCTTTGTGGAGCAATTTTCACATTTCCAGGACTGGAACGCGGAAGTTAACTGTAACGGGATAAACATGTACATGAGAGACCACAGATATCAGTGTTGTGTTCCCACAAAATCTTTGGACCTTCTGATGCACCTAATATTTTATTTCAGTGCTAAAAGACTGTGATTGTGTGAATGTAAGTAAATCAGACATCTGCCCTCTGCTGGCTGGTTATATTAGAGACCCTGATACTTTGTCAAGGTCAACTTTATTATCCCCAAGAAGGCAATTTGTTTCTCAGCCAGCAGTAAACCATCCAATCAACAAAACCAGCACCCACCACCACAACACAGACACAAACAAAGACTTCCATTAATAATTTATATACACTTATTTGTAATTTAAAAGGCTGATGGCAGCTGACATAAAATATATATATTTTAAATATATTAGTCCTACATAAAGGCAGATCATATCTACAAGTAGAGGGAAGCAACTTAAAAACTTGCTGCAAACTTGTGTTCAAGTTTGAACTCCTCTGAACTTTTACATGCATGCTTGTATATTTTAATAATATACATAATTAATTTCTGTAGCTTGCGTAATCTTCCTATGGGGGTGAAGGAGTGTATCATCACTTTACAACACATCAGAGCTGATGAGATTCTTCTGGTTTGCTTTGGTTTGTTTATCATGCATCTTATTTTAAGAACTTGAATTTCAAAGTGTGTTTAAAATAATTCTATAGCTTCTGGTACTTTTTGTAGAAACTAGATGATGCTGAGCATCTTTACTTCAGGAATCCACCACAAGGACTATGACTGACCGCACAAGGTAATCTCACATAAATGAACAGGCCTTCACGAGTGTTAATTTATGGTTTATTCATCAGTATCTGCGTGATTTGCATGCCTCATATCGGATGCTAAAGACACAAACATGTATTCCAGCGCAGGAAAGAGACATTACTCTAATAGTGGTGCTCTGTACACCATGATTTCACAATGCTCTGAAAATCAAAACACGGACTGAATTATGATTGCTATCAGTTTCATACTCAATGTGTACTTACTGTGCTTTCTTTTTACTTATGGTATTAGAGAAGAATCAGAGAACACCTGTGACATGCAGTGAACTGTCCAAAATATGGTCGTTCATTTTGTTCATAACAATAACTGCATAATCAACAACAACAACAAAAAGGTTGACTAGTTTAGTGCTGCTAACCTGGAATTACTTTGACCTAAAATGGCAGTAGATTAACAATTGTGAAAAACTCATGCAAAGAAAACATACAAATGTTTGATTTTGTTTGTATTCTTAGTTATTAAATATAAATCTCACACTTGATTAAATGAAAATGAAAAATATATTAATGTAAAAAGCAGTATGTGGATAAGAAAAAAATCTTGATCCATCTTAATGACTTGGCAAAAAGACAAGCATTATTTTGTAAGACAAAAAACATATTTAACTCTATCAACCAAGTGCCAAATTACACTTTATTGTTTTATACTATTGATTCTATATTTTATACTATTTATTTAATTGCTGTGCAGCACCAATATAATAATGTAATAACTTTTAGGGCAGTTAACACTGAATTGTGTTAAACATGAGTGCTCACTGGTAAAAATGTTTTACTATATGTTATAGATAGATTTGTTTGCAATTGTACAGATAATACAGTGCATAAGTATCTGTAAAGTCTTTCAGTCAAGCATGTGCATAAGCAGTTCACATTTCTTAAGCAAT